GACGTTCATGATTCCAAGACAATGAATCCTAACGGCATTGATGATTTCCTGACTTTTCCTCTAGCGCCATCATGAGGTTGACATTTATTATTTTAAGTGAAATGTCTCAACAGTGATTGGATAGATTGCCATGACATTTGGTGCAGACATTCATGTTCCCATCAGGATGAATCCTAATCACTTTAGTGATCACCTGACATTTCATCTTTTGACATCATCAGCCATCAAAACTTTAATTTGTCCAATAGGCCTACTTTAGTCTATGATTAAATACCTGCAAATTAAAGACATTCCCATCAGCCTCAGTTGTACTCTAATTTGAAAATGTTAGCATGCTAATGCTGTAAACAAATATGGTGAACATAGTAACCAAGCATCAGGATTGTTATTGTGAGCATGTTAGCATTTAGCTCCAAGCACTGCTATACAGCCTCACAGACGCACTATGGCTGCAAATTTCAGACCTAGCATAAAAGTGCATAAACAGTCACGTTTTAGAACTAAGTCGCTAAGAGTGTCTGAAAAGTTGTTAAATCTAGTCACGTTGGAAGTTGGAAACACTGGAGTTGGCTCAGATTTATAGAGGCAATTGAACAGGATCAGAGAGGTTTGGGTTTTTAAGATTTTTTATTGCTTTTTGGAATTATTTGAATAATTTTCGTAATAAATGTATTACGAAAATTATAAATTATTATAATAATTTATATCCCAATTTCAGGAAAGTTTACAAAAACTGTACTGATTTCCAGTAGCTATAAGATAATAACCAGCTTTGATTTATTGATCTTCTTCATAAATGTACAGAGACGAGAAGAAAAAGGAGAGATTTGAGGAAAATAACAAACAACTTCAGTTTCTTTTAAGTTTAGTCAGAGGCTGAGCTGGACACAAACACACACAAACACACACACACACACACACACACGCTAGCTTAGAGGTAACATCTGGTATATGGCTGTTGGACGGGGCATGAAGCTTTTTCTGATTAACTGACTGGAAGTCCTAGTCCTAAAGTTACAATATCAGCGTTATCATAATGTAGGAATATAGGCTATTATATGTTGAAACATAGGGTATGCTCATAGACTGTGAAATTGTGAGACATGTAAGGTAGAAGTATGTATGTATGTATGTATGTATGTATGTATGTATGTATGTATGTATATAACATCTGTAAATATAGTGATTGGATTGTGGATATTCAAAAAGCATTTAAAATGTAATGCACATCTATTCCTCTGTCCTCAGGGTCCCCTTGGTTTAAATAATAAATTGTACAAGTTAATGCTCTTAGACATATTAACTGAAAAGGGAAATTTCTCTTTAACCCATTTACTTTGCAGAGAAACTTGGTCGCAGACAGATTTTGTACGCAGGTTACTTAACTCCTGATTCAAAATTAATAAAAACACATGACAAATACAGTACATGTTGAACCTTATAAGTTTCATGAAAGCCACTAAAAGATTTCTATACTGTCATTTTTATAAGATGCACTGGAAATCTTACACGTCAGTCTGTCTTTAATCACAAGAATGTATAGACACAAAATCAAAAAACTAGATTACAAAACATGAATGCACCAGGCGGCCAGACTTTTCAATTCAGTAACTGCTTTCATCTTACCATGCAGTGATAAGGTAACCTTGAGGAAAAAGCAAATGCAATTTAAATGTTCATTGTGATGGATTGCCTTTCCACAAGTCTCTGCAAGTTCATTTTTATGGCGTATTTGAAATAAAAGGAAACCAACAGAGGCTGGGAAGATACATCGCAAAACTGTCATACAAAATGTTCAAAAAAACATGCAAAGACACCAGCATACTCTAATTTCAAGAAAGTCATATGCAGCAGGTTATCTATTATGCATCTAATGCGACCTCAACCTGAACTCCAGTGTCTATAATTAAATGATGTAATATATTATAAATTAAGCTATTATTTTTCTCCCAAAAGACACTGAGGCTGCAGGCCAAGTGTTTAGTTTTGACTTCAGACTAATTACATCTCAATCATTTTCAGACACAAAATTAAATCAAGTTAGTAATTTACAGATTGAGAGCTTTCTACCCTTGGAGCTGTTACATCAGAGAGTGTTGCTTTTTGAGGTGTTATGTAACAACTCTGAGGGCGTTGAAGCTTTTTAAAGATTGAGTGAAAGCTTATGTTGCCCAGTGGACAGCACACAGCGTTTATTGTTTGTTACTGTTTCAACCAAGCTTTTTGATTGGTTCACGGCACGCTCTGTTCCCAAAAAGCACAGCCTTGCTAACTCTGGTGGTAACAGGGGATCTAATTAGCGAATTAGCCAACTAATTAACAAACCTTTTTATCCACATGTATTTGGAGTAAACTTTTCAGTACCCAGGCGTGTTACTGAGTAAATGTTAAGCAGGGTTTATATTTCCCCAGATAGATAAAGGTTAAAAAGTTTACTTGGAAATCTATACCAAGGACTTCTCCAGTGAATGTGTCAGTGTCATTGCAATATATTTCAGTCCCATCCTATCTGCTGCTGTGGGTCCGACCGTTGTTCTCCAAATATTGTCTTGTGATGGTTGGCTTATCGTTATAAAAGTGTGGGTCCAAGGTGGCCGCCCTGGGGGACCTCAGCTGGACTTACTCAGTTTCAGTGTTGCCTTCAACAATTATCTGAAAAAAAGAGACAGAGACAGAGAGAGGAGAGGCAAGAGAGGGAATCAATATATGTGGTTTGTGTAGAAGTCAATACAAATATAGAGTTTTCCAGCTATATGGGACACACATGAATGCACAAACTCCCAAACAGGACCAAAGACCAACAAAGGTTTTATTTGTGTATCTTTTCTCTGCTTATTAAATTCTTTGTTCAGGGAAAGAACAGAGTGAAGTGTGTTTGTGAGTGTGTGCGACAGAGATTGTTGGGGTATTTTAAAGTTTTAAGACTTAAATGTTTTATGAAGCAGTTGAAGGTGGATCCAGGGATGGCAATTTTGATCTGTTGGCCTGAAATTGTGTGAAATACCTCTACTAACTATTGGATGAATTTCTATTAAATTCTGTACATTTATGAAGACAAAGCCACAAGACTTTCATTCTCACATTTGTTGTTTCAGGTGCAACTATTGGATGTATTGCCATAAAATTTAATATGAATGTTCATGTTTCCATCAGGATCAATTGTAATAACGTTTGTGATCCCCTGCCTTTACATCTACTGCCACCATCAGGTCAAAAATCTACATTTTTCCAATAAGTTTTGCAAAATATATAACATCCCCATCAGCCTCAGTTGTACATTGCAATCATGCTTCATACCTAGCATTTATCTCAAAGCACTGCTGTTCTTAAGCACAAAGCCCCAAAGAGCTGCTAGCATGGCTATTCAGTTATATACTCAAAAGCTTTGGGCCTTTAAAAGCTACAAAAAGCATTGTCTCCAACACAGAAACTACTATTGCTGCAGAGTCTTATTATAGATTGCTGGCAAGTTTATAGGCCATAAGCCATTTGTAAATATGATTTGGTAAGTGTTCTCCTTATGTGCAGCTGAAGTAGCGTTAAACAGATCCTCATCATAAAGAGCAGCAACTGAGACCAGTGAAAGCCATTTTGAAAATTGACACTCTATTATATAAGATTACATATATTAACAGCCAATTTACTGTACATTAGGTTTACATCTCCCTCTAATCACTTTAAAAGGAATTTGATGTGTGCATTTAGATTTGTGTCCTTTTTAAAAAGACATAAACTTTACACTGCCCATCCTTGCTTGAAATGAACTTCTGATCAGACTAACAAAGACACCTTGTAAAAAGAGACAATAAAGTTGTGAGGAGGCATGTTCGTGATGGATTGTTTCCTCCTCCGACACTTTAAGACACACCAGTTCTTCCTGTGAGTGTCAGGTGACTGACAGTAAGTGGAGTGTGAAATAACAAGAACGCTCATAAGAAAATATTCAACTCCAGGATAATGAAGTTCCAATAAATCCAGCACTACAACAAAACTAAATTGAAGGATCCATGTTTACTGTGATGGATTATTTTCAACCAGAACCTTGCCCAATGGCCAAAGTCAATATTTTAACGTCAAAACCTTCTCTCATATTCACATAGCAGTACACAGAAGCTGTTACACTTTTACACTTGCTGCTATAAGTTATCAGCCTACCCATTATGAAGCATTAATCAATAGTAGACTGACTGGCTGTAGATGTGAAGACATGAATGTTGGTTATCTCAGCAGTGGTGGAAGTACTGAGGGTGCAGCCGGTGCAATGGGCCCATGATGGATGGCAACAATTTCCTGGTGACCATGGGTGGGCCCTTTCACGCCTTCACATACCGCACTCAGCAGTGATTCGTAGTACAAGCAGCATGGGACAAGAAAGACTCCACTATAGTGGATTGGCTATACTGCAGAGCGAGGAATTTTGAACTCGGGCAGTGTTTTTAATGACTTTGCTGAGTGAAAGGCCTGTAGGATGACCCTCAAATGGGTGAGTACAGGTGTCTCTTGTTTATGCAAGTAGCCTAATTGTTTGTTCAGATGCCGTCATCCATTCATTCATACTTTGCAGGCCTATAATAAGTTGCTTTTCTTTTCTTGATCACTATTTGTTCTGTGGTTATTGACTTACTGTGTAAGCTACTTTGCATTGATTTCTTTGGCCGACTAGAGCTAGTTTCGAGTTGTTTGACAGTCGGAGACAGCAAACTATGGTAGTTGGAGTCCAGGGCTGGCTGTTAGATTTGCGTTGATAGATTTAGCACTTCGTCTGCGGTTGGGTGCTCAAAGGATGCAGGTTTGCGATGGCGTGGTGTTGTTATGTGATGCCAGTGTGTACACGAGCATGCATTTTGGGGCAGGGGCCACAAGAAAGTAGTAGTGATTCTACTGCCTTGTTTAATTGATTTCAGTGATTTAACAATAGTGAACACAAATATTAAGTTATTAGCATGCCCAATATCTCTGATTATGTCAAAATCAAGATCTTTTTCTTTCTGTTTCAGACCAAAAAGCACATATCAGATGTTGAGCACTTCAAGTCTGAAGAAAGTCCGTCCAGTGTGTAAGTGAATGCAACAGAACACGAAGGCAGCTCATCCGAGGGGGCTTGTTTCACATGAAGATCAAATCAGCACTCAGCAAGGGTGAGTAAAACATAATTATACACACACAGCATCTCCTTTTGAGGGAAAATTAGGTTCCGTTTAAGTATGCAATATGAATTATGTGTTTTAACACACTCTCCTGCTCTCAGATGAGTACACACAGTCCAATGTCATAAAGGAAACCCCGCTCCTGAGAGCTCGGAGATGCTGTGGGCATATTTAGTGCCGGAGTCAGACAAGGAACATTAGCATTCAATGTTGTGTGGCACCATCTGTCCCTGAGCAGGAAAACTCCCACATGAGGGCAGAGACACAGAAACACACACAAGCAGACATACAGTATATACAATACACTCACATGTTCGCCCTCTTGCGCATTTCCTAATTATCCCCCTCCAGCAGATGCTTGGTTTTCCCTCTCTTCCTCCATCTTTTTCACCTCTGTCTCCTCTCGGTCTCCCACTGCATCCGATGGTGTCTATTTAAAGCGATCGCTTTGTTCTCCTGCTTGTGTTCGAGTTAGCAAAGTGGTGTCTGCTGATACGTTCGGTGAAATTCTTTGACACTCACAAAACACACATACTTTTTTACACCAAAACTGTGAACAAAGCACTGACATCAATAATTTTGGAGTTGATTGAAGCAGTTGCTTATTTAAACATTCATCCCATAAAAAAGTATGTCTCTGTAAGATAGGTGTTGCCA